GTGTGGTGGCATGCGCCTATAGTCCCAGCTACTCGAGAAGTTGAGGCAGGAGCATCCCCTAACCCCAGGAGACCGAGGCTGCAGTGAGCAGTTATGGTGGTTATGGTGCTACTGCACTCCAGCCTGGGCAACACAGCGAGACTCTGTGTTAAAAAACAAAATTAAATTAAAATAAATAAATGAGGTACAAATACGACTGCAACGACAGTGAATTTTTCCTCAGCATGAGTGGAAAGTCTAACTTTAAATTGGACTGCTGGCTGTTCAGCTTTTAATTCATTTGAAAATAACTGACACTAATATTATTTTTATTTGAACAGTCCTAAAAATATTAAAAAATTAACTTTAAAATGATTGAAATGGCAGTTTCTTTTTCTTTTTTCTTTTTTTTTTTTTGAGGCAGGGTCTTGCTCTGTTGTCCAGACTGGAGTGCAGTGGCAGGATCTCCGCTCACTGCAACCTCTGCCTCCCGGGCTCAAGTGATTGGCCCACCTCGGCCTCCCAAAGTGCTGTGATTACAGGCATGAGCCACCTGACCCTGCCTCAAATGGCAGTTTCTTACCTGAAATAATCCAACATGTATATTGATCACAAGTAAAAGGCTTCGTTAAGTTATAATTGTAGAACATACATGTGCAGACTGGTAAAATAAGTATTGTGAAATAAAGGATCTCTGGTACTTTAATATTAAATTTGATTATTTCTAAACATACAAGAAAATGCTAAATTACAAGTACAGTAGAAAAAATACTGTACACTTATATCATTTATAATTTAAAAAGACAACATCTCTAATGGTAAATAACCTCCTCTCAAAACCTATTAAATTTGACATCAATGGAAGGCCCAAACAAATTTTTCTCAATTTTTTTTTTTTTTTGTATTGCAAGAACTGGACAGTGAAAGTAGGTATATTTTACATTAATTGGGGAAGGGCTCCATGTCAAAATTCAATAGAAAATTAAGGACCTGCTTTCTAAAACAGCATTTATCAGACATACTTTTGAGATAGAAAAACAAGCAAGAGGCAGATAAATCAAGACTCTACAAGAAGAGAAAACTAAAAAATTCATAATAGCTTTCAAAAGTTGAGAGAGCTTCACTCATGCTTAGCCCTCAATTATTCCATTGCAGCATCACTGCTGATGAGTGTCAGGATGATCTCAATCTGTGGATGCTATCACTTGATTATTTCTCTCTTAACCATATGCTTCTCACAAAATGGTATTATTTTATGTTAGATGACAGTACATACCCAACAGAATGCTGAAGACTTAGCAGTTAATACAGCTTTCAAGAAATTAGCTATCTGAATCCAAATTGAACTTATCCAGTAGGGGGAGTGTTACAACCTCAAGACAATGACTTCCCTTTCCAAGACAGCAAGAATACTTGAGTTAATTCCAAATGTTTTCAAACAGTTTTCTCCATTACGTAAGTATTAAAATGAAGACCTGCAGGTGCCCCGCCTCCAGTGCTCCTGTCCCTGAACCAAGTTATCTTCCTAATGTGAGCTACCATAGTGACAAGCAAGAAAATGAACCAATTATCTATGCTTGTTCTCAGATTACTAGCTGTCATTACCAGTGAGTAGGCATTAACCAGAACTTCATAAATAGAATGTTTTGATTGCCCGGAGTTTCCTAATACTCCTGTCTTTCTACCTCCTGCTTTTATAAGCAGTGGTACACAGTTTTACACTTTGTTAATACTACGTACTTTTGCACTTATAAAAGTGCATTGGGAAAATGAAGGTATATCACTATAAAGATTTAAGGAGTTGATGGGTTTTCGGGAAACAGAGCAGCATAGCAGATTACAGGTGTGGTAGTCATACATTTGAATTCAGACCAATTTGATTATGTCTCTACGACCTGGAGCACCAGTAACTTAACCCTTCTGAGTCTATTCCCTTATTACAAATTGTTACAATGACACATCCCTCATGATGCTTTTGTGAGGACTAAACAGGATATGAAAATTGCCTAGTATGTTAGACACTCAAAAAGTGACCCCTTTGAAAAAACAGGCCGGGCAAGGTGGCTCACACCTGTAATCCTAGCACTTTGGGAGATTGAATCAGGTGGTTCGCTTGAGCTCAGGAGTTTGGGACCATCCTGGGCAACATGGTGAAACCCCATCACTACAAAAAATTAGCCAGGCATGGTGGCACACACCTGTAGTTCCAGCTACTGGGGAGGCTGTGAGGATCACTTGAGCCCAGGAAGTGGAGGCTGCAGTGACCAGAGTTCTCACCACTGCACTCCCTACAGAATGAGACCCTGTCTAAAAGCAAAACAAAACACAAATAACACAAATGGTGCTGCCACAAACAACTTTCATGATTAAACCCAGCTTCCTAAAAACTGTTTAGAAAGTAGACTCGTAAAGCGACCTAATGTGTACAGCCAAATTAAAATGTATATAAATCAGATTATCTTGCTATAAACCACAATATCTTCCCAATTTTTAAAAATAGGCTTTTTAACCCTAGTTATGAGAGCTAATATTATATGACAAGCTCTCAACAGAAATCCTTTGAATATTTTAGTATCTTTCATGTTCACATGATAAATGCTTAAATTAGGAATGAATATCCTTTGCTCTTAACCTATATTTTAAATTTACTTAACATAATGTGCAGACCAAACCGCAGAGAACAAAAAACTACAAATTTAATTTGGATCTACCTTTCATTTAAATGCTGAGATAATATCTGGAGAACACAATATATGTTTGATATTTAATACAGCTCTACTTTTCAACAGAGCACTTTAAAAGTTACCAATTATAATAAAGTTGCTTTTAAATACCCTCAGGTTGTTAATATATTAAAATCTCAAAGTTACAAATCAGGATAAATTTTAAACCATCAGTGCTAAGACTTTGCAAGTAATCTTAACTCAAATACGACTTATCTTAATTCATTCACTGTCCTACAGTACCCAGGTCGGAGTGCAGTGGCTGATTTAGCTCACTGTAGCCTCAAACTCCTGAGCTCAAGCAGTCCTCTTGTCTTTACATTTTACTGTGCTTGCTTCAATAAATGTGTTACCCTGAACTGTAAACTCTACAAAGGCGAGAGCCATCTTATCTTTCTCGCCTCAGCGTCTAAGAAGAGTATGACACACAGCAGAGTTTCAATAAATAACAATGTATTAATAAATGAGGTCAAGATATTAAAATTGCTTATATTCTCCTTATAGGAAAATACAATATTTTAGTGTGATCTTATAAAACGAATTATGAAGTAACTTGAACTAAAAACGCACTGATGTAAAACTAGTTTACCTACTATACTTAAATATTAAGTTTACAGAAAAATGAAAATACTGTGTGTATTTCAGCAAAACACATTTTCCAATTAATGTGTAAGCTAATGTGATCTGTTAATATATCCCTCTCATCTCTGAAAAACAAACAGATCGAAGATTCTATATGATTCCTTTATAACTCTGATATAAAGCAGCATTCTATTACTTTTGTCATTTCTACTTCTTTAGTTTTACATAAAAGTGGGCAAACTTGTAGACATTTATGGAGCAAACATTCTGGACATTTGCGGATGTTACCAACATTAAATGAAATGTGTCCCATACTCAATGCAACTGTAACTTTACAATTAATAGTGTGAATAACTTAAGTATGTGCACTAAGGGTATTTCTACTGCTATCTGATTGAACACATTTTAAAAGAATTTACCCAGCACTTTAATTATGAAAATATTTTCCAATATGCTAAATTCTCTTTAAAAGAAACCTGAGATAAAAATCAGGAAGTTACTGAACAGGAAAAATATATATGCAACGAAAGATTAAATATCTAATTAGGTTATTTATTGAATTGAGTTAAATATCTATGTCTAATAATTTGCCAAAGTTCTGTCCTAAGACATAATGGATTACATAAACACTAAAAAAAAATCTTATTTTACATATTCTTTGCATTTGCAAATAATTTTGATACTAAAACTTGTACAGCATTTCCATGATACAAACTAAATAACTCTTTGGATTTTCTAATGGAAAAACAGTAACAACAGGTGCACACAAAATCTTTCCTTAAGCAATAAATCATTTCTGCATATGTTTTTAAAACTGTAACTAAGCCATGATTATTCAAAAAGACTACTGTATTGGGTATTTGAATTTGGGTTCTTCTCTCCCTCACACTATCTTCGTTTCTATCATTTACCTCTTATCCCAGAGACGCTCAAACTTTTATGTTATATAAATCACATTGTCTCAAAAAATATCTCATCCACTTCTTGTGTGTTTCTGTGTGTATGTGTGTCTGGGATAGGATGCGATTAAAGTGTGCCACAAGGTGAACCTTCCATAATTAAAAGGAAGACTGACTGCTATGCTTTTAAGATGAAAATGTGTGGCCGGGCGGCGTGGTGGCTCATGCCTATAATCCCTGCACTTTGGGAGGTCAAGACAGGCAGATATATACGAGTTTGAGACCAGCCTGGCCAACATGGCAAAACCCCAACTCTATTAAAAATACAAAAAAGTAGCTGGGCATGGTGACAGGCAACTGTAGTAATCCTTACTTGGGAGGCTAAGGCATGAGAATCGCTTGAACCCAGGAAGTGGAGTTGCAGTGAGCAGAGATGGCACCACTGCACCCCACCCTGGGCAACAAAGTAAGATTCTGTCTCAAAAAAAAAAAAAAAAAAAGGACTATGTGTAAGTTTAAGTTGGAGAGTGTACGTGTAAGTAACTTTGCACAGTGGCTGATATACAGTAGACAGACAATACACGATATATTATTATCACGGTCCTCATTTATGTTATAAAATTGTAGCTACTAACTATTTCAAAAGTCGAGACTAAGAGAAGACAAAACACTGAAAACCTGAAGAACAACCTCCAGGTCACTAATATCTGCACAAATCACTGTATCAAAGCAGATTTACATTTGTTTTGAAAACCTGATAACGGCACTGCAAGTAACTGAAAGTATATAAGAGATATTGGTAGAAATTAAACTCACATATGCTGAATTCCTAGTAGAAATGTTGGTGAGGTTTTAATGAAGATCAAATGAAGAGAAAACACCAGTTCTCCTTTATTCGGAAAGTCTATCTGCTTCAAGGAAATACAGAAAATGCAAACTGAAGCAGTTATGGACACAGTGCCAGAAATGAAAAAAAGAAAAATATTTACGTAAAACCAATGGTTATAATAAGAACTCTCACACAGTGTATTTTAGTTATTTGTATTATTCAAATGAATTAAAATAAATGAATAATAATATCATTCATCAAAGTATTGATAGGCCAGGCACAGTGGTTCATGCCTATAGTCCCAGCACTTTGGGAGGCCAAGGCAGGCGGATCACTTGAGGCCAGTAGTTTAAGATTCGCATGGTGAAACAGAAAAATTAGCCGGGCATAGTGGCGGGCACCTGTAATCCCAGCTACTCAGGAAGCTGAGGCAGGAGAATCACTTGAACCCAGGAGGCAGAGGCTGCAGTGAGCCCAGACTGTGCCTCTGTACTCCAGCCTGGGTGACAGAGCGAGAGTGTCTCAACAAAAGGAAAAAAAAGAAAAAAGAAAATTCAGTGTTAAATCCAATTTAAGGTTTTCAAACAGTGAAAAGTTTTAACTATCATAAGGCTAACTCTTTTTTCTCTTTTTTTTCCTCCATGTAGAATTCAACTGAAGGACAAGAAAGTTACCAAAAATCTGACACCAGCAGGTTAGGGCTTTAAGTAAGCAAGTTACAGCAGCATTTGATACTTTTATTGCAAGTATTAAAATTCTTAGGTCCAAGTAGTGTCTCAATTAAGGTATGCCAAAGGGTATGAATGCCTCTATTATACACCACTGTAACAACCCTAAGAAGAAAAAACTGGGAGGGTTACCGAAGGATGAAGGACGAGAGTCCAAATAAACATATGTCATTCATTGAAACATGCATGACATCCATTCAAAATGCCAACAGGGCAGGGTGCAGTGGCTCACATCTGTAATCCCAGCACTTTGGGAGGCCAAGGCAGGTGGATCATTTGAGGCCAGGAGTTTTGAGACCTGGCCAACATGGCAAACCACCCCCAACCCTGATCCCTACTAAAAATACTAAAAATTATCCAGGTGTGGCGGCACACGCCTGTAGTCCGAGCTACTCAGGAGGCTGAGGCATGAGAACTGATTGAGCCTGGGAGGCGGGGGTTGTAGTGAGCCGAGATCGCGCCACTGCACTCCAGACTGGGCAACAGAGCAAGACTCTGTCTCAAAAAAACAAAAAAACACCAACAGAATGGTATTCAGTATGAATGAAAGAACTAAATTTTAACATTGTAATTGATTTATTTTTGTGAAGCTGGAAGCTTGTACATGTACATTTATTTAAACACCTCACAAACGGTAATTGCAAAAATAAATTGTCCAATTTAGAGACTGTAAAAGGAAGATTTGGTTTTCATATGAGCAATCTCTATGGGGAAAAAGCACCATGTGAAATACAGAAATCCTTTAAGTCACAGAGCTAAGCAAGACAAATATTTTGATTCTGTCATAATCACATCCCATATCCTCTATCTTTGATTCTCTAGCCTGGTCATCTTATAAAGATGAGTCAACCAAAAATAACAACTTAACAACTATAATGTAACCTGTGCCAGTTAGTCAAAGACAAGGCAAATTAAATGCCTCTACTTTCATATTTTTTTCCTGCATGTAAAAATTAGACATTCAGAAAAACTACAAAGATGACCCTGCCTACCAACTTTCTAAGTACAACCAACACTATCTCCCTGATAACACCCAACCATTAATTAAAATCAATAACCTCAAAAATCTGAAAACGTTGTGCACACCATAATTACTAAGCTAAAATTACTATATTTCTCAGTTTAGAGGAAAACAAGTAAACATTTACTTTCTGCTTTTGAACAAACAGATTAAATTATTTTAAAGAATGCTCTTGCCTCCATATGACTCAGCTTACTGTAGGATGCAGAACACCTAAGTGAGGCAGACCAAGGGTTCTAGACCTCCCTAAAAACCCAACCTGCACCACTCCCTCCTACCAGCAGGGCCCTGAATGGGCCACCTGGGTATCTCCTCCAGGCTCACAGACATTCATGACACCAGATACCATGTACACACCGTATATGACCCAGGGTACTACATACCCTGGAAAGACAGTGGGTACTGTGTACACAGTACATATGACACTCGGTACTAGGCACACACTGCATCTGACACTGGGTACAGCTTCTGTGACAAGAATAGTGCATGCATGGTGCATATGACATTGGGTACTATATATGCATGGCATATGACATTGGGTACTACCTACACACCATATATAACACCAGGTAATGTATACATACTGTATATGCCACCATATATATACACAAAACATAGGTAACACCAGAGAGTGTATATACACTGTATATGACACCAGATACTATATACCTAATGTATATGACATTGAATACTGCACACACACCGCATATGGCAGCACGGTACCCTGCACATACTGCACAGAATACCGGAACTGCGTAAGGGCTGTATATGACACTGGGTGCTGCACATACAGTGTGAAAGGATACTATGTACACACCATATATGACCCCAAGTACTGTGTGCACACAGTATATGACACCTGGTACTATACACACAGCATATATGACACCAGGTACTACATACACACTGTATGTGACACCAGGTAAGGTAAATATATTCAATACTATCCAGATACTATATACACTCGGATATGACATGGAGTACCACACACACACCTCATATGGCAGCAGGGTACCAGGCACATACTGCACAAAATACCGGGGACTGAGTGCACAGCCTAAGTGAGGAAGATACCATGTACACACCGTGTGTGATACCTGGTACGACACCGGGTACTTCGAGCACACTGCATATGACACAGTACACACCATATACGATCCCCGGTACTGCGTACCCACCGCATAGGACACCGCACAGCACAACGCGCCCTGGTACACACGAATAAAACAGGTACGGCGGTCACTCTGCAAAAGACATCAGGCACGGCGCACACATCGCCAGCTCCTCCTCCTCCCGGCTCGGGAGAAAAGCGCGAGGGGAGACTGCAAGTGAAAGTCCGGGTCCCGGCGCCCCCCCTCGTCCCAGCCGCGTCCTCAGCAGCTTCTCCCCGGAGCTCTGGGTGGGCGGAGGGCGGCGGACCCCGCAGGACTGTCCCGGAGGTCCGCGAGGACCTGTTGAGGCGGCGCCGCCGCTGCCGGGGTCGCTCACAGCCCCGGGGGACCGACGAATCTCCGCCCCGGGCCTCGGGGCCAGCCCTGCCCGCCGCTCCCGGGCTAGCACACGACATGCCGCGCGACAAACGCTTCCTCTCCGCCCGCCACACGCCCGGGGCCGCGTTCCCCGCCGGCCCCGACTGCGCACGGGCCCAGGAGGCCTGACCGAAAGAGGGGCATGGGGCCCGGCGGGCGGTGCTCACGCGACTCCGCGGCTTCCCGGCCCGAGCAGGCCCCGCGCGGTCCTCCGGGGCCTCCTCCCGGGGCCTCCTCCGCGGCCGCCCAAGGCGAGGGGGCGCGAGCCCGCAGCCTCCGCAGGCCCCGCCGCCGCCCTCGCAGGCCCCGCCGGCCCGGCCCGCCATCCACAAAGCTCCGCGGCAGCTCGGAGCCCTTCGCGAGCGGGCGAGCGACCATCAGCACCCGCTAGTGCCGCCGCCGCCCCAGAGGCCGCGGCCAGGCAGGCTCCACCGCGCGGGCCGCGCCATCTCCACGGACGCCCCCGCCCGCCCCGCCGCCCCGCCGCCGAGCTTTCCCCACCATTATGCTCCGGCTCCTCCACCGCCGCCGCCGCCGCGCCCGGCCCTCCCCTCCGGTGCCGCCTCCTTCCCGCCGCCCGGCGCCTCTCGGGCCTGAGCCGGCGACGGGCGCGGGGGGCGGGGGGGACGCTCAGGCCGCCTCCTCCTCCTCCCTGCCGGCCTCCTCCCTCCTCCCCGGCTCCCCCCGCCCGGACCCCGCCGCCGGCTCCGCGCGAAGGGCTCCGGGCTCGAGGGGCGCCATGTTTGTAATACTCCACCTCAGAGAACGCCGCGGTCGCGCCAGAGCGAGGGAGGCCGGGCGGCCGGGGCGCCGCGTGCGGGGTGAGGGCCGGGAGGGCCCCGCCGCCCGCACTTAGTCGCGTCTCCCCGGGGGGCCGCGGGCCTGCGGGGCCGGAGCGGGCGGCTGGAAGTTGGGCGCCGCCGCCCGGGAAAGTTGGGTCCCCGCGAGGCCGCGGCAGCCGCTCACATGGCGATGCTGCGCGGGGCGGCCGCTCGGCCCCACCGGCCCCTCGGCCCGCCGGCCCTCGGAGTTTATTGTGTCGGGTCGAGGCGCCCCGCGGCCGGGCCGCGCACTGGGGGCTCTAGCGGCTGGCGCCGGACTTGCGCGCTGCCGGCCCGGCTTGCGGCCGCCTCCCGCCCGGGGCCGGAGCCGTGCACGCGGCTCCTACCTTCCCCACGTCCCGTCCTCGGCGCTTCTATCCGAAATTTGTTGGAGCATATTCCTCTGTCTCCACACATGCACTCCGTATCCACACACACGTGAAGGCTACGTACGTGCAGGCGCGCTGGAGCCGGGAGCGGGCGCCGAGGCCGGGGCGCGAGGGGGCATTGTCAGGCGCCGCGGCAGCTCAGCCCCGGGTGGACCTGGTGCCTGCGCCGGGCTCGCGGGGTCCGGAACGACGAAGTCTGAGAAGTACCAGTGCTTCCCTTAACGACATTGTTCAGGTAGTCTGAACAGCCTTTTACTCCTGTCGTCAAAAAGAGTGGTATACGCTAAGTTCCTCGTTCCATCTCTGCGCAAACAGGACTGCGAAAAGAACAGGACCACCCATCAGCAGCCCTGCAAGAACACTGCAGATTTGCGCGAGAAGTAGGTTATCTTCTATGGAGAGGAAGTCTAGACCTAATCAGAGACGATCCCTTAAAACTGTGGTTTAAGAAAGGTTCGGAGATAAGCGTATTTTGATAGTGTTCACCTGTTTTCCCGAAGGACCTTTCGCCACTGGGAGTCGGGGAACACCTGTCAGTCAGAGTGCTCTCTGAAATTCGGTGAGTACAGGACAGCAAGGTGTTTTCAGGGAGACCACATTCTCATAACTTTTAGTACAGTATAGTGTTATAATTGTTCTGGTTTATTATTAGTGTTGTTAATCTCTCATTGTGCCTCACTTACAAATTAAACTTTATTATAGGCAGGTATGTGTAGGAGAAAACGTAGTGTAAGTAAGGTTCAGCACCACCCCGGGTTTCAGGTGTCTATTGGGCGTCTTGACACGTGTCCCCACCTGAAAAATCATTAGGAAGAGACCATTGTAGGAATTTGGGGATTCTGATAAAATATGTCAATCTGCTTCTACAACTGATTTCTAAGATTGTTCGAATTTAGAAATGGGTGGTACTTGAATAGGTCTGTGATATACACTAGTCGAATAAACACAATCTTACAGCCCTCATTCTGATACATCCCAGAGAGTTTTTGGTTATCTCAAAGAACATCACAGAATAATTTTAATTCATTTTAAGAATAAATATATATCGTTAAAATTTAGTAGAGGGATTAAAACGTGTCAGAAGAAAAGCAAGCCATGCCTGGTTTGAATGTTGGACCGGGAATTCCAACAATGAAGAGCTTTCAGTGAGTCACCTTTTTAAAAAGTCTGTTACTTCATCTGTAAAATAGAGGACTGCATAGTTCTGTGTATTTTACAGAAGGCACTCGAGTAAGACAACATCGTATCAATAAAAAGAAGCTTACCTTTTAGGAAAGAAGTGGCTGCATAGCTCCACATTTTTCTCCAGTTATACTTTGTAGGCATCATTTCAAATTTTATACCCCGATACCATCTCTCATTCAACCTAATGTAAGTTAGATAACTTACCCTGATTTTCCTATTGGTTTTGCCTAGAATTTAACCCTTGGCTCTATTTTCCAAGTAAGGTGGTATTTATCCACTAAGATGAATATGAATATCCCTCCCCACATAAAATGCAAAAGCCATGGATAATTTACAAAAGAAGGAATAAAACTATTAATAAATACTGACAACTATTCAAATTCACTAGTAATGACACATTCAAACAATGGAACATTGCTTCATAAGACAGAATTCTTTTCCAGTGATAATGCTACTGAGAGTTAGCAAAATGAACACTTATATACACTGCTGGCAGAAACTTGGGTTGATCTTAACTCTCTTGAAATGCATACCAAGAGGCCATTAAAAGTTTAATTTGTTTCATTTGCCTCTCAACTGAATGCATGTGTGTGTGTGGGTCTGGGGGCCAACGATTGGAGGTTTGGAGGAAGCCCAGAAGACCAGTAACTAATTGCTGTGCTAGTATCTTATGTGACGAAGCTATACTCTTTATGGAATTGAATACAGACAGATTTTTACTTCTTAATTCTCCTTTTTGGATTGGTGAGTTTCAAAGTGGGTGCCAGTGAGCCCTGGGGCTTCTCAGAGCTATCAGGGAGCTGTCTCTGCAGGACCAAGATGTGGGAATACCCCTCCCACCCCCAATCAGAGCAGCACTGCTCTATTTTCTAGAATGAGTGTCCAGATCAGATTTCCTTACCTGGCTATTGGTACAGTATGGTGTGTGAAAGGTAATAATTGCTCAAACTCATTTGACATGAGTTAGGGTTTAGTCTCATTATTTATTTTGTTAAATGTTATCAGGAAATACTGTGGAAGAAAATGTTAACTGTAACTGTAATAAAGTGTGGACTGCTGCAGATGGCTGTGAGTGTAAACGTCACAGCACCTTTATTGGCCCATTGCCTCCAGAGCCACTTCCTGATGTGGGGCAGCCCTCAAAAATGTGTGCCTAGTGAGTGTCATCTCTTACACATGCTACAGCCCCCCATCCTCAGACCTCCAAAAAAGCAAGAGGATAAGAAACATTCAGTAAAAGATGCTGAAGTGAGCAGTCATGATCTAGCCACTCCACAAGGTTAGTTCGTACTGCAAAGGGAGACTTTCTCAGAGACCTATATATATAATATACATATATACACATATGTATACATATACATACACACACACACACATATATATATATATTGAGCAGCAGCAAGATTTATTGTGAAGAGCGAAAGAATGAAGCTTCCACAGCGTGGAAGGGGACTTGAGCGGGTTGCCCTAATAAAATATTTTCTAAGACTATACAATATTCTTTGATTTCATTCCATGCCTTTCTGACTTCTGATTACAGTTTTCCATAGTCTTTAGTATTAGATATTGATGTTCTGAATATGATTGTGGTTTCTCCTTATCTTCTTCTCTATTAGATTAACGTTCTGGCATATAAGTTAGTATATAACAAGTTTATTAACGTTGCTTAAGGATTTCCAGTCACCTGTGGATGCTTTTAAAAATCATGTTTTTGAAACTAGAAAGTTGTGGTCCGAACTCTGTAACAGCAGCTACCATTCATTGCTGTTGCCACCCTCTGTGGCTCAGACTAAAGCTGGTACTATCCGCATTTTAATTTTAAAAAACTTTCAGCCAGGAGTAATGGCTCACATCTATAACCCCAACACTTTGGGAGGCCGAGGCGGGAGGCACTTGAGTCCAGGAGTTCGAGAACAGCCTGGGCAACATAACGAGGCCCCATCTCTACAAAATTTAAAAAAAGAAAAAATAGCTGGATGTGGTGGCTCACTCCTGTAGTCCCAGCTACTTGAGAAGCTGAGAGAAGACGATCGCTTGAGCACAAGAGGTCAGGGCTGCAGTGAGCTGTGACTGCACCACTGTACTCCAGCCTGGACGACAGAGCAAGACGGTCTCCAAGAGAAGAGAAAAAGAAACTCTCAGTATAGGAAATCCATTTCCATTGAAAGCCATGATTCTTCCAATACTTAAGTGGCAACTTTTTACTACGCAGCAACCGAGGAGGTGAGCTGACAGTGCTTGCCAGGCCTAGTTCCAGTGCCTGTGGGCCTTGAAACCCAGGCTCCAGGCATCTCTTCAGGGCTCCAAAACTGGCTTCTGAAATTCAGTTCCCCACTTCTGTCCATGAATGTACACTATTTATTAGAAGTAGGTCCTCCCACACCCAGATTAATATGCTTCAGAACATTTAAAGAAAAGTATGATCCTGTCTTTTCAAGGGCAATTCATCACACAAGATGAAAAAGGGATGTTTGTGTATGTGTGTGCCTTCTTTCCTTCAAAATTGTGATTCTAACCTTTTCCCTGTCTCCTTTTTCCCTGCTTTCCTTTTTTTGAGATTGGGCTCACTCTGTCACCCAGGCTGGAGTGCAGTGGCACCATCTTAGCTCACTGTAACGTCCTCTTCTGGGCTCAAGCGATCCTCCCACTTCAGCCTCCCGAGTAGCTGGGACCACAGGCGCATGCCACCACGCCCAGCTAATTTTTTGTATTTTTGGTAGAGATGGGGTTTCGCCATGTTGCTCACGCTGGTCTCGAACTCCTGAGCTCAAGTGATCTGCCCGTCTTGGCCTCCCAAGTGCTGGAATTCCAGGAGCGAGCCACCGTGCCTGGTCCCTGTCTCTCTTCTGTAGCATGATGTAGAAGAATATGCACTAGTGCACCTGAGTCCAAATTCCAACTCACTGTGAGACATTGAAGTGATTTCACTTT